CCCCCCCCCCCCATGACTCGTGGAATTATAATCAGATAAATTTACTGTATAGATGATAGATACTCTCTTCGGTTATCTGGAAGGTGTAGGATGAACTGAAATTTTATTGATTTTATTTATACTCTTTTTTTTATTGTATATACGTATATTTAATTTATGATGTAGAGGATTATTCACGGTCGAAGTTGGGCGCGATTCAACAATTTCGTTAATCGTGGCAAGTGCGACTTTGTTAAACAAATGAAAGATTGTGGATCGCAATATTCATGATGTTAATAATGGTATGACAATTAATTTTTTTTATTTGGTACCACGCTACGCCGATTGGTGAAACCATCCATTCGTGACCAACTTCAGCTGGTGCGTTTGCCATGAATGAGGCGATAATGTCCAATGGTAATACGTAATGTTGCCGTCACTACGATTCTTCAAAGCAACGGCCACTGACCAACAGTGACTTCCTGTTTCCTTTCAAGGTAGCAACGGCCTCACGTGTCTGCCGAGTCTCCTAGGTGCTACGACTTACGTCACCGTAGGACGCGCGTCCCCCGACTTTTGACAGAAGAGAGCGATTCAAAGCACGCGATACAGTTTTCACGTAAATCAGGAATTTTTCATATCGTTTAACGAATCTGATTCTTATATAAAGATTGGCAACGCTGTCGCATTGCCTTAAGGACTCACAGAGGAAAGAAGGAACAAACGATAAGAATGTCTAAATATTGAAAAAAAATCCTCAAAAGAAGTCTCAAGTAAAAATGACTGGATAACGTCCAACCAGATCGATGATAAAAAATCAATAGATCAACGTAAAAACAGACGCCGTTCGTTACGACAGAATGTCATACAATAATCAAAATAATAATAAGTCGTCCGCACGTTATTTTTACCTGTGATTTTCAAGTTCGCCAACGCACAATTTGCCATAAGTTTATTTAGCCCGAGCCACAGCAGCAACTGACACTGCGTCGTTGAGCGTCGTCAGAACGTTGCGTAAGGCGTCAGCGTTGCAGGGCGCTCGCTGCCGCATTCGTGGTAAGTTGAATTTGGACAAAGGCAGAAAGAACCGACGTGGAGGGAGAAAGAAGGCGATAGCGAGACAAGAGAAATGCGAAGCGGAACAAAGGAGCAGCCAGTGGATTATTTTAGTATTTTCTATTTGCACAAAAATATGTTATTGTTTTCATGACGGCCGAGGTCGTAGCGCGTACCGGCGCATGCGCAATGACGCGCGGGTTCCCGGCCGCCCATAGAATCGCATCGCAGTAATATACTAACGATCGAAGAGTCCAACGAAGACGTAAACGAAGCCAGGCGTCACCTTCTCACTGAAAGAGCTTCGACGAGGATCGTCGACGTAAGGGACGCTCGGGACACGGCGATCGAAAATATAGGTTTCCCGTGTAAAAACGGGGACGCCTTCCTGTAGCTGCTTCTACCACGGTGCATTGGATCGCTATACGTCAGCAGCAAACAGCCAGCCGTTACGTAAAGGTCGGTCACCCGGCCACGTAGCTCTCCTCGTAAGCTTCCACGAGTACCGTCGTCTGGATTACCGCGATCATTTTTCATACCGATCACTCACTTAGCTTCTCGCACGTTCCACACGGACTCCTGTCTCTTTCGTTATTTTAGTTACTGCATCGAGTGTACTCTCACAGACTTTGCACGTCCTCGCGACTACGTTGCATATGCTACTCGTTATTCCGGAATGGCATCGTGTAGGCTCCTCGATATTCCTCCGCGTTCACCTTCCTTCGCACAGACGCTCGGCGAGACACGACGGACGAGAGAGACATTGGGACTATAGAGAAAAAGACGCAGCGTCAAGTACAGCCAAAGCCACAGAATTGGCTTGGCTAGAGTCGCTGCATTATTCAGAGACCTAGACTCGGTATACTTTGTGGGTATACATAAGACTCGTAACGTTTTTTCACTGTGGTATCGGCTCTATACTGTATCTACGTATTTAAGTATTCTAATTTGATGATTGATATAGCATGTATATGTACATGTTATATATCGCTAATGCATGTCTTGCATCTGACTTGTAAAGGATGCGACGGATGTATTTTGGATTAACACGTTTTATGACTTTTTCTAATTTTCTCGAGCACGTATAGTCTCGTTACAGCTATACGATCTCTGTCCGTTCAAGCGACTCTATGTCGAGGCAATGACATTGCTCACAATGCCAGGATGCACTCCCGCCTCTGTCGGTCGGCCGATGCCGGCGTCTACCGTCGCTTCGTCGAAAACACTGACTCGTAAGTCAATCGTAGTTCACGATATACGTTCGTTTCGTGATACTCTGATGCGATAGGCCGCTGCGCTGCGGGTTGCACTTGGCCAGTACTTGTATTAGCCGTTACCGTGTATACAGGATCCGTCTAGAAACATAACAGGTCTGCTTCGTCGTGAACAGGATACCAGGTGTGTCCGAGGACCGATTCGATCCGGATCTTGGAATTTTTTTTTTTCTTGCTTATGACTAATTTTAATTTAAAGACGGTAATGGCTGACGATTATGTAATTTTTGAGATCGTTGTCCAGAGTCTTGACTCTTGAGCGGAAAGTATGAATCGTCGTGCCACAAAAAGATTTCACGCTTCGATACTATCGCGGCCTGGTCGACCTCGACATTCACGGAAATAACGATGCTACCGAGCTCGGGTTCTATGGACCTGTTTATTCGCGGTCGATGTCCTGCTCTCTGGCTAATTGTCTACTGATGTCAATTTGGAGATTTGGTTTCTAAAACTTTTTGGAACTTACTAGTTACGTGATTCTTTATTGGAATATTTCTTTTATGATTGGTAGGATTGGTCTATAGACATACATACATATATGTATGGCATACGATTATCTTGTTTATCAATTTTATTTTTATTGCCTAGCTGATAATTATTGTGGAATCAATTAGCAGCTATAAGATTGCACCGTGAGTAATTTGCTATTGTTTTTCACGTTAAAGAGGTGCTTTTGAAGATTTTTAGAATTTTTTAATATTATTAATTATTAATGATCTGAAATTCGTAGGGTGGTATATATTTTCTTATTTGTCAACTTTTTTATATTTTTGAATTAATAATCAATGTTGAACAGATCATCAATGCTTCATTATAAATACAGTGTAGTGTAAATTTTCATTGCTTCCCTTATTTTGACATTTTACCTTTCGACCAGTATATGATTCGATCGGTACCCGATGATTCCTGGTGCTAAATTTGTATACATAGTTTCAATGCACTTTTTACGTTGTCACTACAAGCATACGAATAAAGTAATCATAAGAGACAACGTTATAATAATTCAAAGCGACAAAAAGTTAATTTTCAATTACCTAGTGAAATTACGGAACATGAACAAGCGGAAGTTATTAATATGGCAGCACTTGTAGAAAGATATATTATTTTTTTCTGTTTCAGCACCAAACAGTCCATTACATCTCAGCAACAGGGCGCACGCATTGCTCATGCTAAGTAGGCCGCAGGCTTCTCTCACGGATGCTGACCATGCGATTAGATTACGTCCAGACTGGGGAAAGGTGAACAATTTTGGAATTGATAATTCATATAATTTAACAGCACCAATTAACTAATAAAATTTTAATCAGAGAAATTGTCTATTGCATTTCATAACTATAAAAAAAAAGATAACCATAGACACGAAATCTTATTGACTTTCAAATATAAGTAACGCATCGTGCTCCATTTGTTTTCATGAATAAAAAGTCATTACGCAACAGTTGATTACGTTAAATTTAGCTGCGTGATTAATTAGCAAGTCGTTTGTGTTGATAATGATTTTAAGTTAATTTGCATTTGATTAACGGCTCAATATATGCATGTATACATACGGCTGTATATTTTTTATTAAAATTCTTTTTTTTAAACCTTCTTAGTTCCGGGAAAAAATAATAACATAATTGTCGCCATAAATTCTTTATTGTACTTAAACGTATAAGGGAGAGGCGTCTGGGACGGCATAGCAAATAACACAGTAAATTATATGCAGTCTCAGACACCTTTCCCTTATCAGCGTTATGGCTATTGTGTAATATCGTCGTTTCAAGGAGGCCGATTTACACAGCCGAAAAATAGGAAATTTTGAAAATATTAAAGCTAACCAATTGTTTATAATTATTGTAGGGCCACTTCAGAAGAGGAGTGGCACTCGCAGCTCTTGGGAGACACGAGGAGGCCCTCTTTGCCTTCTGTACGAGTGTCGCCATCGACCGAAACCCTCAGACCGTACGCCAAGAGATAACACGGGTGAGAATTGCTCAATTGAATTCAGAAAACGAAATTTTTACTATCAGACAAACGTAAAAATTAAGGCAATATCCTGCTTTAGGAGGCCTGAAAAAAGCGTTTTTGGGGGAACTTTTTTAGGACAGAAAAAAAATAAGCAAATGTAGCGAACTTAGAAGATTATTTTATTGCATATTTGAACATTAAAAAAAAATTTGTTTGAGCGAAAAACATTCAAGCACAGCAGATTTTTATGCTCATTTGTGCAACACCCTGCAATTGCAGTCTCCAATCGGCGGGAAAGATGAAGCTCGAAATTTTCTTTTGAAACAAAAAAACCAAAGAAAATTTTAATTTCCATATATTTTTCTTCTAGATAAACTAAGAAAAACCCAAAAAATTGTGAAATCTAAAATTTTTCTCAAGTTTGAAAAAAATGTTTTTTGTTAAAAAAAATCATTTTAACTTGCTAAAAAAGTTGTTTAGAATTTTTTTCATGAATCTTTTTAGTTCAAATAGAAGATAATACAAAACTGAAGCTAACAAGCCTTGGTTCGTTTTGATTGGTGGTCTAGTTGTCTTGCAATCACGCCCGCCAGTTTAGAAAAATCGTAAAAATGAAAACTCGAGAAAACGCGCTTTAAAGTAAAGGAGCGCGCGCTCCAGCTGCCCGAGCGCTCGTATACCTGCTCCATACCCCATTGCGTTTAGTGCTGTATATTTGAAAATATTGTGAATTAGCCTCTATAACTTTGAATACATATTCTTGGATACATTAGGAATAGATTTTGGCAATAAAAAAAAAAATCGATTTTTAGAGCCTTTTAAAGCAGGATACTGCCTTAAGTCCACGTCACTCGCGATAAGAACGAGTTCCGATAATAGTTATTAATAAAAATTTCGCTTGCTTATATAAATATAGGTATATAATGCGCTTAGGACATGCGACTATGAATTACAAATATATTAAATTTGAATAGATATGAAGTATCGGGTAAAAAAGTTTATCAATGAAAAATTTTCATTCATAATTTTGTGAATAAAAAATTAAATAAAAAAAAGCCGCATGAATTTTTGACAAGTAAAAACGACTTTAGCAACTTCTAATGCATTCGACTGGTCAACCGGAAGTAATACGCTGATAAGCAGCTTGGCTTTAACAGTCTAATCGCAACTGTTGTCCTAATTACAAAAGCTGCTGTCTTGTTGCGTTCATTAGAACAACCTCAGAAAGGGATTTTCAGAAATTCAAATTTAAGTAATTGGCTATAACCGTACGAAATGGTATCACGCGGCTGACGTACGGAGATTATGGTTTACGACCAATCAGCAGTATAGGTAGAGATAAACGCTGCGAATGGGAATAATAAGAATGGTAATAACGTGAAACCAATAGGCGTCAATGGGAACGATTGATAAGAGAAGTATGAAAGAAATTCTATTATTTCAATAGGTTCGTAATATTTCCTGCATTTTTTTACTTTCCTTCATATAAAATGATACGAGTAGCATTGCACAAGCAGCTTATAGTATAAGTCGATATTATGGAATTTTCAGTAAATATTTTTTTCAAAATATTTTACAGTTGTCAGCTCTCAAAATTATATACGAAAATACGCACTCCGTAACAATATCTACCAAAAACAAGCGCTTGAGTTCACGAGCTCAATGGATTTTTTCGACATTTCCCAAAAAAACAATCATTAGCACAGAACACAACCACTCCGACCGTGGTCCTTTATCAGCCACAAAAAAAAAAACTTTGCGCTGTACGCAGAAATGACGCAGGAGCTTTTGAAAGGCTTTGAACTTCCCATATCTTATACGCGAAATTAGCTTAACTTTTGACATAGATAAATAGTATCGCGTTCGAAAATGATTGCGGAATTATATTTCGCACTGGTTACCAGAAATTTTTTAACAACCAAGATATGTCTAATTTTGTCACAACCAATCAATGGTTCAACGAACGGTCGGTACTTATACCAAAAATATGAATACAAGCTTGACAGTCGTTAACACTGCATAAGGAAGATACATTGTGATACTATGACTATTGAATTTCTGCAGTTTCCTTCCTTTACCACCCCAGCACTTCCTTATGCATTGTACTGGTTTAGTGTCAGTTCTATACGTATGATGCCATGTGGCACAGAACAATGCCTAACCGTGTATCCAGAAAATTGTCTAGAAACACGGAATCAAAATTACAGTGGGATCTCGCGAACCGAACTATAACTGTTACGTAGCAACTAACTAAATATACCAAAGCATATATTGCGCTGTTAAGAAATTAATAATTTTCTATCGATAAAATTCTTCATGGTAGATCAGCACCAATCAGTCGATACGATTTTTCGCCATAGCCCTGAAGTCTCTCTCTTAATCATCTCAGCCATTGTTCATCGTGATTTCCACTGAGGATTTATCGTCTTGGTGTCCTTATTTGCCTCTTGGTGTATTTATAGCCAGCTCTTTCTTTCTGCCATCTCTATACGTTTGCACGTTAATTGTAAACGGGCCAAAAGTCGCACCCGGGCATCATCGTAATATTTTGATTGGCGCTTTTCTAGAATCACGCGCCTTTCATCATAATCCGAGTGACTATGAATTTTTGCAATTTTCAGGTACTCCACCGAATGCTGTCCTCGAATCATCGTCGGCAAAACAGCCCTGCTACCAGAGGTCCTTACAATATGGTCCAGACGATAGCGAGATCGAGAAGAAATCGACATCATCTTCTTCTGCCGCTGATGAATCCAATTCAGCATCATCGCAGGGCAGCACTGAATACGTCGGATTGCGAGGACAACAGCAGCGGAGAGGAAGACTTCAGTCAGGTAAAGAAAAAATATTTTATTTTTCTCTTGATCTTTTTCTTGCTTTCTCCATCGTTCGCTCTTTCTCTTTCTCTCTTCTTCGTATGATCGTTCCGTACCAGTGGCACGATTGATGATCAATTCACAATTAGATGACCGGATAACGGCGATCGGTCGGGCCTTACATAAAACCAAGTATTAAATTATCGTCGATCGAACAATCCCGATAATCGTAAGGCTTATCGATAATAATTGCTCGGGACGAATTATAAATATGATTCCGGGATGATCCTTATCGCGCGATTAATCAGTGCATTGGCATCGGCAACTCGGAAACGATATCGTACATCGGCTTGATAATGCTCGGCAATTTCTTGGTGATAATAGCACCTCGTACTATCATCTTTATTTTATTTTGCAGACGGTGTGCCGGAGGCTCATGCCTACTTCCGTTCCCCATGACAACGCTCGACTCCACGCGATCCTGGACAGGGTCTATCAAGAGGTCGAAAAGCTCAAAAGTGAGTAGCTGAAAACGTTAGCACGGTTAATTGACCTATAGTATAATAAATTTGAAAAAAAAAATTAATTTTGTAAATGGACTCTCTTACCAAAACGCTTTCGAATTTTTCTTAGGGGTGGACGCGAGACCTGCCGAAATCTTGCTACCGCCTCTTTCCAGAGGCGACCCTGCCGAAGGCGACCTAGACTGCATCCTATGTTGTCGCTTGCTTTGGAAACCCGTCGCAACCCCTTGCGGACATACCTATTGTTGGATGTGCCTGGATCGTTGTCTGGACTACTCATCTGCCTGTCCACTCTGCGTCACGTCACTCGCCGACGTAAGTGACCAGGAATTTATCATCGGCTCGATCAATCGACTTACCAGGATGAGAAGTACCGGTCTGAGGTCTTCTCTTGGTCTGTTACATAAAAAGAATCTCTCCTTAGTCACGACCCGTTAGACACACTGGTCGGATCAACCTTAATGCCAAGACGTACCTTGCGCTGGACGTCTTCTAGTAAATGAGGCACATAATGCTTTCTAGCGGTTAACGATGATGCATATTGAGATGATTGTTTGTGGTCATCGTTCTGGCTTCCGTATTCCATCGAGCAATGCCATTTATCAGGAGGAACATTATCGTTAACGTTTACTACCAGGTGCTTCGCTGCTGGTTTTGTTCTAGATCGTGTTGAAAAAAAATAGAGAGAAAAACGATCGACGTAACCATAATATTGCACTGTTGTAATCAGCACTGCCATAACCGTAAGTTTCTACTGTATTATTCTAGTACCTGGCCAGCAGTCAAAAAACCGTTACGGACTTTGTCGAACGTGCCCTGAAGAGCGTTGCGTCGACGGAGTACGCTGCCAGAGCCGCCAGTCATCGTCTGGAACTTGTTCAGAGCCTAGGACTCCTGGACAGCGAGCAGATCGCCGTTTTTATTTGTACGACGGCCTTCCCCCGTGTAGCCTGTCCTCTCTTTGTTTATGAACCAAGATACAGGCTGATGGTCAGACGATGCTTTGAGATCGGCGTACGGGAGTTTGGAATCGCTGCTTGTCTCAATAGGGAAGCTACCGGGACAAAGAAGTAAGAATTAATTTGCATGCTTTGTCATATATTAGAGCAATGGAAATATCATTTGAAATCGATGCTCTTAGTATTTCTGTTGAACTCATGCATAGTGAATACGTGTACTGCATTAGATATATTTTGAAGCGCGTGTGATTATTATGCAGATTGCTTGAAGCATTGAGGCTGTGGCATGGACTCAGTTTATCTGATTGATCGCTTCAGGGTTGTTAAACAAACTGGTATCATTGTTATTCAGGTACGCAGAATATGGTACCATGTTGGAGATCAGAGATAGAGTCTTACTCAAGGATGGATGCAGCATCCTGAGTACAGTAGGTGGAAGGAGATTCAGGGTTTTGTCTGGAGACGAACGGGACGGATATGACACGGCGCAGGTGGAGTTCTTGAGAGACACGCCCGTGCAACCTGAGCAATTACTCAATCTTTTAGAACTTCATGATAAGGTACGTCAGAAGGATTGATATGGTCTGTGATAGCGGAAGGTCATCAATCTTGATAAGTTTGATGCTTTATGTGGCGACGTTACAATGTATCATTCAATGTCACAGGTGAGAACGAAAGGCAGAAGATGGTGGGACACTGTACCCAGCTCCCAACAGTCGGAGATACAACGTGTATTCGGCTCCATGCCAGACATCGAAGAGGACTGGTCCCGGCTTCCGGATGGCCCGTCCTGGACCTGGTGGATTCTAGCGATACTGCCTCTGGGACCGCAACTCCAAGTCGGCATCCTGGGTACCACTAGTCTGGAGAAGAGACTGAGAGCCATAGAGAAAACACTGGATCATATGGAGCAACGCCAATTGACTGTAGCACCGGCTCCTTCGGAGGACACAACGACATCCGCGAGTATTTGCAGTGACGACCGGACGATCGTCGGTAATCCCGTCCCTGTAATCCAGCGGTCATAGAATTTATGCGTCTCGGCTGCTCTCGACGATGAGGTCGCTCAGACTATATTCCATTTTTGTCACAAAATTCAGTTTCACCTTCCCGAAATTATTCCACGCCGTCGTACCACCGTTACGACGCTAGTTGTTTCTTTTTCTTTCTTATCAATGCCTTACCGATGCAAGATAACGACCATCCTCACAGCGAGTCGTCGTCTCCTCGTTGTGCGAACGATCGATGCTGTCGGGAGAAATTTTTATGACTCGACCATTACATATCAGGAGATTTTTATTTAATCGGTAGGTTGTCTTCGCATCCACACCAAACGCTTACGAGCAAATCCGTTCTTCCAGAATCCGATTCAAGTCGATCTATGAATATTTAAAAAACATAATAATAATATTTTCTAACTGTTCAATATGGAAATAGGCAATATTGCATGTCTCTCCATTCTGTTTTCTGGCTTTTGTCCGTTGAACTTTGACCCTTATTGTAATCCGCGCGATTATCTCCATGATTATCAGCGCGAACGAATTACACATTTTCTCGTACAACGAGACGTCGCGTACGGCAAACTTTTGTCGCTCCTTACGGAACAAAACGAAATCCCAATTTTTATATTTTCTAAGTTTATTCCATCGAGCATAAGACTTTCAATACGCTAGCACATAGTAATTTATTTTAATGCGACTTTTTTTTTTAATAAAACATCAACGCGAGTCAGTGATTATAAAATTAGGAACGTCATATCAGTCATGCAATCAAGTATTTATAAGACATATAAATATAGTATTGCTACTGTTATTACGTTTATTATTGTTATTATTATCAATACTGCTAGTGTCATTATTATCACTATCAACATTACTACTATTGCTATTACAACTACTATTAATACTATCACTACAATTGTTGCTGTTATTGATATCAGCGCTATAATAATAATAGCCACACGTCGGCTATACTGTTTCTACTATGATCTTGTAACTTAAATTTCTTGTCTTTTTCAACTGGTCAATTTTTGTGACTCTGAGCTAACTCGCCTCTGGAGTAACCGACGTGTACTCTAGATTTTTACGAACCTATCGAATCATGCATTGTGATATTAATGTGTAGCCTTCCTTGTATATTGATACAACTATATAATGCCATTCGACTTTCCATTTTTACTTCGACATTTCTATATTTATGTTCATCTCGTCATATCGAATTATTATAATAAAATTGTGAAACTCACTACAGCAGTTATTTTTTCGCACTATACATCAACTATTCCTCTTAGCCTATATCAACTGAAGTTTTCTAATAATCGCCAAAGGCAACCTATGGTTACTGAGACAAAGAGATGACTATATGATCTTGATGACTTCATGCATGTGAAATAGAACTATTTTCGCGCGTAGAAAGTATGAATGGCAAGGTCGTTCACTTTGAGAAATATTCGGTTGCACCTTCTCCCAGTAGAGACTATTATGGAATCAAAGTATTTCACGATGAGGTTCTTATCAGTACTATCACGTACTGCAATAGGCAAAATCAGTACATTTACTATTATCTGTATAGGTTGTATTGTTTGTATGGAGAATCTCTCATGGACCACACGTATCCCCTGCTGTTCATGTGACCAAGTTTTTTGAATTTGCGGAAGACAAGTCCTTCCAAGACCAAATTTGTCAAGTATTCGGTATTGTACCAAATACTATTGTGCTATTGCATTCGTATCTATCTAGTATAAAATTTGTTTCTCTTTAATAAGGAAAACCCTTACTGCTGCATATTAAGAGTCTAACCTCGGGAACATGTGAAACACTACTTGCATTGCCTAAAAATCTTATTAATAAGATATCGGAATATTTAGATATTCAGGATATTGTCAAACTCTCTTCATTGTCCCAAATTGCAAATCAGGTTCGCTTCGTTCGATTAACTATATAATTTCAATCAGTTTACATTCTTTTACTTTCTACAGATTTTTAATGACAATGAGCTTTGGAAAATTCTGTGTCAAAGGTGCCTAAACAGTAATATTTTTAAACGTAAAAATGATTATGCTGTGGTAAAGGGATGGAGGAATCTAATGAAAGATCATCAGACACATTTGAAAATTACACATGAAATAGTAAATAAGAATTGATTAGGATTAATAATTCAGTCATACATCTCTCATGCTTAGAATTATCTATAACCTTGTCTTTCAGACTGATTCAGTGAAAGGAGTAGAGAAACAATTTAAAAAGAATCAGGAAATATTTACAAACCCAAATCGGGCAGCTTCACAAAATTTAAAACCAATGAAAACAAGGAGTATTTATAAAATAATCAATAACAGTGACAGTAAACAATGTGATGCAAAAAAATATAATTCTCATAATCAAACAAACAAAGCTTTATGTTGCAAGATAAAAGAACTTCAGACTTTGCGTGATGTAAATTCCATTGGTTCTGCACAATCTGCACTTCCAATTGCAAGATTATGTCCACCCTTGAAAACAAATAAATCTCTTCAAGAAATCAGAAGTGAATCTATCAAGCAAGAAAAAAGATTGAGTACAAGATGTACGGTAAAGAAACAGAATAATTCACATTCTGAAAAATTCAATGTTTCTAACGAAACAAAAACTGAAAGATTCAAAGATAATTCAAATACTGATCCAAAAATTAGTAATCTTAAAAAGGATAAAACGAATCGGAAAAGTAAACAAGTGCAAAATAATTATGTCTCCAGTAACACAATTAACAAAACTGGAAATACAAAGAAATTGCACATTAAAATCCCAGTTTCTTCCACAGAAAGTAACATAACAAAAATAAATATTAAGATTAAACAATTTTGAAATACCACATTCAATAGGAAGAAGAAATTACACTATCTTGGAATACCAACAAACATTCTAAATTTAATTAAAAGACTTGCAATATCAACTTTTTGAAATGATAACAGAAATTGAGACAATTACAAAGAAATTGATAGAACGAAATTTGGCATATTTTTAAAAAACTTGAAAGCAAAGGTTATTGTAAATTACTTATTTATGGTAAAATACCATTGAAATCCGTATCTCTTTTTGCATTTAATTTATAAGACAATGAAAATTTTATACATAAAAAAGCAGCTGTATAAGATTATCGAAAATATATGCCGATCAATTTAGTGCGCAAAAATATAATTTCGTACTACAATTAAAATGCCTTCATATGCGAATCTGATGATACTCGTAAAAGTTGGAAAATTTGAATAATGAGAAATCTAGTATCCTCGATTTTTTTTAACACCAGGGCTAATCCGAAGAACCTGTAAAGTTAATTTTCGTAATTATATGTAACATGCATGGAGATCTCAAACACTAATTGTTCAAATAATATGAACTTATTTATTATTAACGATCACTTGTATAATCCTCAAAAATGTTACTATGACATTAACGCATACGCCTTAATTCCTTTAATTTATTATTATATCTCTTATAAATATAGTTACATCAACTATACGTATTAGAAATATTTATTACAACGCAACGTATGAAAAATGTATAGAAATCCAATGCGATATGATCGATATGCGAATGATCATTTCTTTCAAATTGGTATCCACATTTAAACAAATTAAGGAACAAGTCAATGAAATGAAAGCAAATATTAGTAAAGGAACCAATATTTCATTTAAAAATATATCACAAGATATTAAATCAAATGCGTTAAACAATAGTGTGTAGTTAATTCAAATTTATGAGAAAACTTTAAGAATCAAAATTGCAATCTACATAGGCTTTTCGTAAAATATGTTCTTCGTCATGTTTCCAAGAAGGTCAAGGGTCAGGCGGGAAAATGTAATGAAGAAAAAATTTAGCGTACTATTGCGTAACACACAATCTACTAAAACATTATAATGTAAGGAGTAATGTACCAACTACTTTAGAATGGAACTGCTCAATTGGTCTTTGTTCTTCGTCTTTCATAATTATACTTCAAATTTCCAATTACTAAAAGCTTCAGTTTAACGGAATTGATTCAAAATAGCCATAATTTTAGGAATTTCTGTTTTTAAAAATTATTTTTGACATTCATTGCACCAACATTTCCCTCCAATTTTACACCTTGCAGTCTACTTCTGGCATCCTTCTTTCGTTACCTGCCCAATACCCTCCACTAGTTAATACAACAAACATAAAAATAATGAACACTGCAAACCATAAAAGTATAGAAAGAGAACTGCTTCACAATTAATTACTATCTTAATATTTTGAAACTCTCTGCGAAGCATACCTACTTGTCAGTGTATCCTAGACGTGACATTCCATTAAAGTACCAGTCACTACTGTACCCGAATATAACATATTTTCAAAGTGTCCTTCGTTTCGATTGATGCTTGTTCGACCGACAATGCAGTTGAAATGACAAACTATAATTTTATGAATCCTATTCTGCTTATGCTATAGAAATAGCCAATAAAATGTGAACACTAGTAACCCACTTTATTCAAGAGGAAATTTATGTTACTTAGACTTAGCATACATCGCTATAGAAAAAGTTCTTATTGGCTAGCAGGAAATAGCTGAATTATAATACAATCTTACAAACATTTCTCCGTTGATCATTTATGAATGCACACCGTACTACGGTACTAGTTGAATACACGAATTAGTTTGATATTCATTACGCAAATATACTATGCGCAATAAGTTATATACCCCTGGTCATTTGTGATATAAAGTGTCCAAGCTATTTTTATAAAACTGCTCATAGAATAGAGACCATCAGAAAACGAAAAAGTATAAAGACAAGTCATTCTGTGATAATATCCTTCCTTCGGTTTTCATAATCCTCAGATTTTTGTCCTTATCCATTTTTCATATTATCTTTGTTATGCAACACTGCTTATAAGAATGGCGGGTGGAATTCCTTACGTACAAATCTGAAATGAAATTTTCAAAATGTGTTTTGATATCTACAGCCGTTATATGCACCAATTGATTTCATACTCGTAGGAATTATCGTCGCTGCTAATTGATGACTGGTCAAATTCCCATTCGTAATTCTCATCCTCGTCCTCGTCCTCGGATGGGAAAAATACATCGTGATCGAAATCCGGTCTCATGTGCATTAATGAAAGATCAACGTTGACTATTTGAAGGAATGGCGAAACTTCCTTCAGTTCGCTTACGATTACTCTTGTACCACCCACAACTATTTTGAGGATTTTGCTATTTGTGCGAATCCGTGTGGCTTTTTGTGCTACTTCCAGGGTCCTATTGGTTATCAAATCGCAACCGGACAGATCCAGTTGTTCCAGATTCTGCGATATTTGTATAAGGGTTGAGATGCCGGTGTCGCCAATCAAGGGGCAACCTTTACATTCGAGTGTACATAGATTTTGCATTCCTACAAAAGGCTCGTCATTTACTTCGCCCAGGTAACTCATTACTAGGTGTTCGAGTTTTGGTAATGTGGCAATTCTCGACATTCCTTTGTTAGTTACGGTATTGCAACCTGTATTGTAATACAATAATAAGTTTATTAAAATTGCTTTATGGTTTGATGTCTCGTTGTAGATAGTTTACCTGTTATGTCTATCATTTTAAGTTGAAGACATCGGGCTGCCACTACGTTTAAAAATTCGTCTGTGACTGCAGGATTTTCGGCGACGTTGAGTACCTCTAAATTAATTAACTTGGCCACCTCCAGCATTGAGCATTTCGACATTATTGGGAAATAATTAGATAATTGTAAAGATTTAAGACTATTTGCTCGTATGGAAATAGCTTGCATCACGTTGTCGTTTATACCGATACAAGCCACAAGAGAGAGATGAGTAAGTTTCTCGAACTTCTCGATAGCCTGTAGACAATTAATAATGTTAGCACTGTAGACACAACTTTCCTGTCCAAAGAAATAGTTCGACAGAGTTTGACTCAAACCTAAGTAATTAACCTTTTGTAAAGTTTTCGACAAGGATCAAGTTTTGCATTGTAGAAAATTGATATATCTCTTTTTCTCTCATAATTCGAAATTTCTCTGTATAACTTAAATAAAAACATAAATATTAGAAAAACTTACATTGGAAAAGTGACAAGGCAGCATGGCATTGCATTGTTCCAAAGATATCTCTTCGATGGTATCCGATGGCAGATGTAAAAGACATTTCCCAGTCATGTGATTATTTTGGCGAATCCTGAAATATCTGAGCTTCCTATTAACTGCAAATAGCTTCTGCAAATCATTATCGCAGTAGCTGGTGCATGATCCCAAACTGAGTTCCGTTATATTTTCACAGCTATTTGTGAGGGAGTCTATTCCCGAGGCTGAGACATTCAATGCTGTCACATCGATTGTCTCCAAATTTGGACAGAATTTTCCGACGATGGTCAATGTGCTCTGACGCAATTGATGTGGCATTTCAGAGAAATCAATGTGATTAAGAAAACGACCACAGCGGAGCAACACTTTCCTTAGAATGGGTGTGTCGACACTGCGCTGCTTTTTCTTTGGACATAATCCCCAAGCCGACTGTGACAAATCTAGCCTCTTCACAGCACGCCAAGACTCTTGACTCACTGCTCGCCAGCGTTTGCATACTGTACAGAAGACATTGTATTTATGGCGTTAATAATGAAAACAGAAAGTCTTTTATATTGCACGTTTATGCATAGTCTTATGTTTTCGTAAGCATACGGTATACAGAGGAATGTATCTTTAAGACTTATCTGAATCAGGGTTTGAGTTTTTATCAATTAAGAGGGTAAATAAGATAACATGATCAACATGTAATCGGATACATTACATGTATTATTAATTCTGAAGCTATAAGAATGAGAAATAATACCTCTTTCAATTTTTACTCTGTCGGCGATTGGGAGGTACAGGAAGACATGTATTAGGCAGTCATCATTTAATCTATTTATAAGAGCATTATCATCTGCTGTGTAATCCTGAAACAACTGTTCCTCAATGTCTGAATTTTTGTCCGTTTTCTTCTTAATAGCAGCAAGTTTTCTTTGATTTTCAACACTATCTGGTTGATGCCAAGAATCTGCTGGCATCACTCTTAGGTCCCTACTGTGCAAGCGAATTTCTTTTCTTAATCCTTCTTTCCTAGCTCTGTAAATTTATAAGTCGTCATGATTATTGTGAAAGTAGAATTACAATTTTACAGACAGTCAATAATACTGTATAAGGCACTCCGAGTTAAAGAATATAAAAATTTGTAAAACTTACTTTAAGGCATCTTCCACGTTACTAAATGTAATGAAAGCATAATTGCTTTTACCAGCATTCCTCTTTAAATAACAGCTGTCTACTTTCCCGAATTTGGAAAAGAGATTGTCTAATTCCTTATGTGTCGTCTGAAAAATAATATAGCTATAATAAAATCATATAAAGTATCGATTTAGTCTTAAATAAAGTCAATTCCTCAACGGATGGTGTATATTTTTAAAGGCTCATCGTATGAATGCACCTAATTTTTTTAAACAAAAAGAAACTCACCCTCTGCGCCAAGTTGCCAACAAAGAGTTTTCGTATCGGTACACCATCCTCTGTAGTTGACAACGAGCTCTCCTCACTAGATAGGTCGAGTAATGCTGTAAGAGTAGAAACATCGCATAACAAAAAGAAAAAGGAAAACAGTTCTACGTAAGCTGTCAAAAATGTGTTTAGAGGTTAAATCACGAACCGTCATCTGAGTACACTCGGATTCTACTCAGAAAATCGGAAAGGTGTTGTTCTATGTCCTCCATTTCTCACAGTCTTTTCGAAAAATTTGGAGCGCCTATTTAGACCTACTAATTAAAGTGCACAAGCTACAGAGTCACTTTCCCACGAAGAAAGGAAATATCTTTCAAAGCGTGTTGACAGCAATAAGATACTGTGTCATATTTTGAGATTTCGTCATGTGATCCACTGTATTATCCCGAACTCCGTAAGCTGGATGAATCCTTCAACATAAATGAATTAATAAAATTTATTTGAACGAAACCGAACGACGCATATTGAACGTTGTAAACTAATATTACGTTTACGGCACAAGAAATCCGCCCGGACCATTTGGCACTTACCGAACACAGAGCCGCACAGCCACTTTTAAGAATTACGTATCTAGTACCAAATTAAAAGATATCGAACATAATTATAGGTAATGATACATTTAAGAAATATGTGGAGATTTCTATCTTTGAAAAGTCTTTGAGGTTCGTGTTTTTTCATCTTTTTTATGGTTATAATAGGGACTTTTATAAAATTAATGCGAGGAACACAATCACTCCGAGAACAACTGTAGTTATTTTGTCTCTCGTTTCGAATATTTTTATTAAAATCTTGATTATGTTCTAATTTTATTCATAAATACATATGCCGTCTAATTTTATAAAAAAAAAATATACAGTAAGTAATTCAAATTCATTTTACGCATTTTCTTTATGAGTGGAAAGTGCCCATAAGCTTATGCATATAAATACATTACATAACTGAAAACTTCATTTACTTGTTTAACAATGGAATATTGTTTAAATAAAATATACCAGGTTATTCAGCCGATTCGGCCCAAATGTACCATCTGAGCATGGTTTTACCCATCGACATAGTTTTACCATAAGACTCAAATGGGTGTGTTAACTTCAGGTGGTGCGTTTACCGTCGGAAAGTTACCATCAAAAGATAAAAATGTATATGTACGTGCAGGGCCACTTTCAAAATTACTCTTCACTTTTTGGAACTTGTAGGCTGTTCTTGAACTTTGAAACTACTCAAACGAAGATCAAAGGCCCGGAAAGAAATCTTTCAGAATATCAAGGATAAAGCCCTAAACACAGCCCTTTCCGTGATAAAGTCGATTTTCTAATTGCATTTGGAATTATTTTATCGGAGAAAGTTCCCTGGTTCTGTCAGAGATGGCGCCACCATATCATGTGTGGAGAGCGAAGAGCATACGGTACTTACCGACCGAGCTACGGCAATCACTGCCATACTTACCGGCCGTCGCTGGCAGGAAACTAAAGGCCGGAAGAACACAGTACTACGGCAAGCAAGGCGTAGAGTAAGAGTAGTCGTCTCGAAACTTCTATGGCGTCAGTAGTCCCAAGTATACCTCTGTACCTAAAACCTAAACAATAAAGACCACGTGTGTAAAACTTACCTGAGATTAATAAATTCCTCGTGAGTAGATAAAAATAGAAAAGACTTGTGTACATGGTTCACGACAGTCCACTACACATGCACAGGAGGTGCTGCCCCCTAATCGGCGGAAATTCTAACTAATGCGAATTCTTTATTAAAAATTGACCCAATGAAGTTTCGACGATAGGATTTTGAAATTGCATCCAGAATCATTTTGTTTTAAAGGACAGTATTGATGAAGGAAAACGAAGTCAGGATATGGATAATAGCAGAGATGGAATGCAAATAATAGTAGAGAATGGAGTATAGCTGAAAAGAGTGTCGAAGCATAAGAGAGGAGGAGGAGGACGACAAGGAGGATGCTGTTAGGACGGAGGAGAGTAAAAGAGAGAGAGACAAAACTCATTCCTACTCTGGGATATTCGCATAGGGCAAAAGAATATCAACGTGTATAAGTGTTTAAAGATAATTTATTCGACAAACGCAATAATGATACAGTATACAAAGTACAGATGTATGTATGTACATATATAGTTCGCGGAAGATAACAATGTGTAGTAATAACAATGCCACTAGAGACATTTTAAATATATCACTGCAATACAATATACGTATGGTATGTTATATGCGCTACCACTTTGGACTTTTCCTTTTTCAAAGGACTTTTTAACAGCTTAGTTTTGAAGGATATACTAGGAGGAGAGGGATGGAGACATAGGGAAGGATAGGAAATTTAAGAAAAAGAGTAGAAATGTTTGGTGACAACAGGAAGATGTTGTTGAAGGGAAAAAGAGGAAGATTGTTGAAAAGAAAGAGTGAAGAAGAGACATGGTAAGGACTGAAGGAACAAGGGGCGAAGAAGATGCGTAAAGCGTTGCACGAAGACCAGATTATTCTGGAGGAGCGGGAAAAGAGAACGTTTGAAAAAGTAGGAAAAATAGGAAGTATAAGGGAATGAAATGGGCCCCTCCACGCCAACTTCCGTGAAGTCCAACCTCTCCTGAAGGAAGCTACGACCCCTCCGAGGCCCCATAGGAGACCGTGTTTTTTTTTAATGAGGAAAACCCCCGAGTCCTGCGGCTGTCGCACACAAGACTAGGGGGGGGGACCTCAGGAAGGAAAGGAAGTCGGGTCAAGCGACAAGAAAAACGCTAAAGGGGGTAAGGTTAGGTAAACGCGAAAAGGGTAAGGTAAGTTAAACGTAAAAGGGGTAAGTTAAACGCGAAAGGTCTACCCCTAGTCAAGGATTCACCGCAACGAAAGACCATAGGCGTAGCACCCGGCGGAGCACTTGCGAGCACCGCCAGGATGTCCCGAGGGACGATATTCAACGTTACAACCTCCGTCCCTACCCACCGAGCAAGCTCAGTGGGTTAGACGTAAGGAACCGCGTCCGCCGCCGGCGGCGGACCCCGTTAGCCATCGATCCCCGCGCAAAATGTCTCCGACAGAGGGCGACTTTATACTAGCAGGTACTCAATAGCACCAACACCTGCCCCAAGTGAAGCTGATCCCCAAGCACAAGCACAAATAGGACTTTGCCCAGAGTCAACGGACTACCACACCGACCTCCCCACCGACACAAGGGCAACCCCCGACTCCATGGTCTATATGTCTAGTTACTCTAACAGGGTGACTACCCTCATATGACTATTCGAATAAATATGCTCGACCCGACCAAGGAAATTGGAAAAGTAAGACAAATCCAATGGAAAGTGAGAGGGAACAGAATGGAACGAGAAGACAGAAGGAAAGATAGAAACACAGTAGTTAAGAAGTAGAAAAGTAAGGAATAGGAGTATAAAAGTAGAGAAGCAATGAGGAAAAAGATAAATCAGAAAGTAAGGAATGGAATATAAAGAAATAAGGAAGTAAAGAAGAAATGAATGTAGAAATAGAAGAAGGTTGGAAATGGATATGAGGGGTGATTCCAAGAGACCAGTATAGGACACCGGCTCTAGAAAGAATGACCGCTCCGAGTCCGGGCACTACCTTAGCGCTCCCCCCACTCGCCGAGTCCTGCGCGATGAAATTGCGCGCACACAATTTTGGGCAACTTTCAGTACTTCTAAATATTCTTGGCCAGAATTTTTGATATCCAAGTCTTAATATTCAAGAGAAAATCAAATTGTACTTGTTATTTAAAGATTTTTTAATAAAATAAAAAATAAATTGCGGGGAAAAATCATATGAGAATCTCTTTGGTCATTTGGAATAGCAATAAAAAAAATATTTTACTGTAATATTTTTTAATAATTGTATAAAAGCAGTGGAGCAATTAGAAAAACAAAGAGCATTTAAAGAACAATTTTTTAGGCAATAAAAACGTAAATTTTTATCTTTTGACGCTAACTTCCCAAAGGTGGTTTGTTTTTACTGAATAACCCTGTATATCGTTTTGACAGATAAACCCTACGGGCTAAATATCTACATTATGATACATGATGTACACGCTGGCACCATCATGTGCTGCCATCTATCACATATTTTAAAAACTTCACCTAATATAGATTTACCATTGAAATTTCCCATATGGACGTCTGGTAAGATCAGTAACTACGTTTCCACCGGAGATCAACGACAGTTACAATACGTCACATACACCATACGTGATGTGCACCATGTATTTTATTGCATATGCCTGTTTATTACCTTACAGTTTATTAATCTATGCGCATACAGTACACGTATTTGAACTCTGAACTCAACTCCCATAGAAACTTAGCCAGTGAACATATTCGTGTCTTCTTCATAAAAAGAAAGGAAAAGAAATTTCGATTGGACTTGGTACCTAGTACTTTTAACTGTGTATCACATTGACACCTGTCATAATGTAGGAACAAGAGGCTATCGTCAAAGCCGTCATGGAATTTCTCATAACGTTACGTCATATCTAATCATAATAAATACTCATCTATCGTAATAAAATTTGTAGTTTATCTAACAGCCCCGTTTTTTAAAGAAGATCCGTATTCCTATGATTAATCATTTACCACTGTTTGACGGAATAAAGTGTGGATATAACCTATAACCTCAAGTATATTACAAAGCGATTATATATTTTTGACACTTTTAATTAAATTATCCGATATCTTGCTGGAAGAATGAATTTAAAGGTGTATGTATAATTGATTTTTTGTTTCGTTAGTTTTTGAAAATATTTGGAAAAAATTACAAGATGAATGGATTTAGGGAAAATCCCTTATTCTTCTTTATGGACGATAATTATGGTACGATGCCTGAGGAATGTAACGGTGTGGGAAAAATTATTGAGATTTCTGACGTCGGTTGCGATGCCAGGACGCCAAGATCATCGTGGCAGAAGATCGTTGACAAATCGCATTCCAGCAATTTTCCAAAACGGGAAAACAGTGGGGACAATCAGTTGGGAAATATGGAAAGAATTGGCGACTATTCAAGGAAAGAGAAAAATCGAGTCAAAGTGGATTTATTAAAAAATGAAAAAATGTCGATGAACGTAAGAAATCAAAATAAATTTATTCCTTATCTGCAACACATGTTGCACTTATCTTTAATTTTGATTTTTTAAGGACAATTACGAGGATTTTGAAATCATTCCGGATACAAAAATTAGCGAAAAGTCAAAAAACGTAGAAGGAAGATTTAAGGATTTGTCGAGTGGAAGAAACGAGAAATCTCAGGCTTCGTACAAAAAATTTGGAAACAGCAATCAAAAGTCAACACGTGGCTTCGATGATTTTAAAAGAAACGAAATTTCCGAAATTAAAGAAAATTTGATTAAAAGTAAGAAGCGTATTCCAATCAACAGAAAAGAAACCTTAAATAGAAAAAATGCAAGAGAACTTGAAAACATAGGATTGGATAAAGTCGAACAATTTATCACTGCGAAAGAGAATTCGGATCTGTTATTGTTTTACGATAAAATAATGCATAACGGCGTAGCCACGTGTGCGGACAGCCTGTCAAATTTGTCAAAACATTCAAACCCATCCGATATTTCTGTAAAGTCAAGACTGTCCAATGGCTCAAGAATTTCTAAAATTTCAACAATTTCTCGGAATTCTACCAAATTCTTTGATAATTATTTCAAAAAGCATACCACGACCGCGACAAAGGATTCGGCTGTGTCAAAGGAGTCAGATTTAATTAGTAATCACGTGGATTTTGACAGTAAAGGTAAATTGAAAAAATCGGAAAGTGATATCAGCACGAATGATAGTAGCGATTTAACAGCCGAGGAAATTTCTACACGCAGAACTAGAACGAAGGATATTCTTGAACCGAAATGTAAATATCTTAGACGAGACGACTGGCAAAGTTATCCTTATCAAAGTAAGGACCTCGAGCCAACGCAGGGGAATCGCCTGCTGGTAGAAAGAGGCGAGTCTCCTATCAACTTGGGAATTGAAACGTCGTTCATGCCTTTAAGGACGAAGGACGTCACAAAGATATCACGAGGACAATCGCCAATTAGATTTCCAGACATTCGTTCTGTTTCTCGAAATCAAAATTCGGGGACAAAGTCCTTTTTCTCCTGGGGAAAGCACCAGGGCAATGGCAATTCCGTGTCCTTAAAGTCAACCAGTGGTAAGTCCGTTTCGGCATTACGAAAAAAAGTGTCCGAAATTCCTCGGCCGGTAAAGACGAAAATTGGTGAAAGAAAAAAAGAATTAAATTCTAATAAAAAAACGATGTTGGAAAGGATACAGCAAAATCGGAGAAGTAAAACGGAATTTTCGCCGAAAATTATTCAAAAAGCAGAGTCGTCGACGGGTGCAAAAATAAAAACTGACAAGAGCCAGGAACATTCCTCTAGGAAAAATCCAAATTTGAAATCGCGATCTTTTGATACTTCGACTCGTGAAGTTGATACTTCGATTGAAAGAATCGAGTGGGCTGAAAAAAAAAAGATGGAAATTTCATCGCTTAAGTCAAACATAGCAAAAAAGCATGACGAAACAGAAGTGCCTATCAGGATTCGTCAAGGAAAAAACATGGTTTTAGAAAATCCAAAAAAATCCAAAATACCAGCAGCAGTACCAAGGGAAAACACAAAATCGGATAGGTCCGTCAAGAACAATACAGAAATATCGGAAAACGTTGAAAATTTGGAAAAAACTAAATCTGCCAAAATCGACGTAAAAACCAAAATTTATAACCAAGACAAACCAGTGAACGTCGAATTTGACGTTTCCCCTATGATGGAACGCAATACTACAGAATCCATTAATTTTACTCCAAAATCAAAAATTCCAACCTATAATACCCTCGACAAAGTCCATCAAAATAACAACGAATTAAAAATAAAAAATGAATACACATCCGAGAATCAATCGAAATCAAAATTATGGAGTTCCGAATACGAGGAAGCTTTCCTAAAAGGTAGATCGGTGGGCATGAAGGTTATAAAAATGGCAAAAGCCGCCAGGGACGATAGAAAACGAGTATATGTCAATCATGGTTTCGATGACTATAAAAAACGTCCCCGCGATACTTCCGAAGAAATCCTGGACATAGGAATGACCGTGATCGAGAACGTCCTCCACTCGCCTGAAGAATATCTGTCGGCGAGGACATCTGACGAAACATTGGAAGACTATCCAATGTACGAATCAGCCCACGATTGGAGTCCAAGAAATTCAAACGAGACGTTCTGGTTCATTTAAACGATACATTTTCAGAAATTGTCCAAATAATTAGCAAAAGTCCAAAATTCTCAAATTTTATTGATTAAAAACCACCAAAATCGAAGGGAAGTATTATTTTCATTTAAAGAAAAAAAAAAATCTTCTCGCATCATCATTTTCAAAAATTTTTCAAAAACCAAATAAATTTCTTTCCCTTGTTTTGCCTAAACTTCGCTTTCTTTATTTCACCAAAATTCGGCATTGCGTTTACACACGTGTATGCGTCAGGAGGGCGAGTTCACAGAACGTAACAGGGGTGGCGAATGGGTCACCTCAAAAGAAGACCTCGAATGATACCAATTATGTCATCACCGCTGTGCAACCCCTGTTCTATTTCGCCATAGATTTCACCCGCATGTCAACCTCTGCCACCCCCCTGGTTCACTGCAGTAACCAACCCCATACTGGTACAGTGCTAAGTATAACCCACCGCACACAACACGAAATAAAAGTCTAAATAAAAAGAAAGTAAAAATAAAAAATATGCCAAAAAACCGAAAAAAAAGTAATCATAAAATCAAAAAATAAATATACCCACATATTAAATACAACCACTAAAAAATTATGCATAACAAAAAAACGCGTATATAATTCAAAAAAAAATGTAATAAAACGTCAAAAACTATATTCTCGCCAATACTTAAATACTAAATTTCTACAAACAAATATAGGTATAGTCAGTCGGCAAATGAGAAACTTCCGGCAAACCTGTTAGACCCAAAATATAGAGGGTGAAAAGAAAAAAGATTCAATATAAGAAAAGAAAGAAAAGAGCCATGACAGGATAGCGCACTAGGGACAGATAATCAAATAACCTACACGCACCGTATAAATTATCAATCAGGCCACGATTGTGCAACCCCTACGTAGGAGTATAAGGGGTGGGGGTGGTTAGGGCTAAGGGGTTGTTAGATCGACATAGGGATTTCCAGCCTATGTGGGATTGACCCTGCAACAGTTATCATCTCCCTGTGTGGGCGTGTGTCGATTCCTCCAGCCACCCCTAAGTTCACCCCCAGTGTATTGCACGACACGTGTTTAGCGTTACGTAAGTGCCAAAGTATATTCCGCGTAGACACGTGTTCGCGTTTGTCGCGGCGACATGCCTAAAGGTACGTGCACAAAGGCACCCTTGCGAAAAGGTAAATACACATATACGCATAAGTACAAACACGGAAGATACCACCAGGGCTGTTAATTCACGGAAATCGAGAAACCAGATCACATCCTCGAGAAACACACGTGTCTGTTCGTATATGCTCCGTACTGTGAGTTACGTTAGTTCAGCGCGAAGATCACGCACTAAAGGAGTGGTAACACGTATGTATTCACGTGCCACTAAATCAATTAGGTAACACACCCTTTGTGTTCCATGGGGTTAGGAATCTATTGAGTAATTCCTATAGTTATCCAGAACGGACTATACCTCTGAAAATTCAGTTTCGTCGAATATAGAGGGTGTAATTAGAAATTAGGTAAGGGGCACTCTGTGTGTTTTATAGGGATTTTTGAAATTTATGGAAAATTTGCACAGTCGCCTGAAACAAGGCTGTGATAAAAAATTTAAGTTACATATAGAAAAATATATTTAAAAAATTTTTTAAGACATTTTAATAATTTTACTGTAATTATATTGATGTAACGATATATGTAGTAAAAAATATCCAGGATCGTGTTAGGTTAGGAATCTCGAGGGCGCATACGAATGCGTTACCATCCGAGTGAATCCATTAAAGGATGCAGCCACGTGTCAGTATAAAAGATATCTAGGGGATTAAATAGTTTCGTATAGCCGCAGGCACCACTGGATTCGTTCCTATTAATTCCCTAGTCAAAAACGATGCCCTGACTTTTTCTCACGTTACACATCGTTTCATCTACGAATTGTGTTATATATGACGTAAGAGCCTTTGAACTGGAAATAAATAGTAAAGAAAATTAAAGAACCACTGTACGAAAATGTACGTAAGTTATAATGCTACGTATACAGATATGGCGGGTGATAAAAATGATCTGAAACGAGTAGGGCTAAAAATAAAGGTCGAACCGGCCAAGCCCGGTTAACCTCAAATAGCCGAAGGGCTTTATTTAATAAGTTGTTGTAAATTAAAGGGCTACCGCATATTAAACCACCGTCGGTATATTTATAGTGATACCCGAGACTATCGCTATATGGCTATGTAAATCACGCCCTTTCCGACTTATATCAGCCCTTCGAGCCAGACAATCCTCCAAGCTCTACATGTTCGACTATCATCCCTTATGAATTTATATCTGAAGATGAAACAACAAACGGTTTTAATTGCTGCTCCGGGCCAGGCGATCGAGCTGCCCTCTACGTTCGAGCGTTGCTTGTCTTTAACGTTACGTTTCGAATTAAACTGCCAAATTGATTTCTATTGTTCGACGTATTCGATGGCTGGAAAATATAAATAAATTCTTATTTCTCTTTTTCTCTTTGTCCTCTACCACCCCCTGCAAGGAGTATATGCAAAGAGAAATTTATAAAAATAAATTATTACGTTAAATTTACGGGAACACTGCGCGAGCAGACTGTACACTCGTATTAAATATACAGTATCGTAAGTCTCGTTTCTAATATCCCTAGTGCAGCCTGGGAAATCTGTAAAAGCGTACAATTTGGACAAATAGGATCCCTAGGGATATTTTGTTTGTCGGATAATTTTCCAAATTTTCTCGTTACACGAAAACAGCCTTTGGCGATACGACTGATTGGATTATACCGGAAGCGTCATTCTGGTACTCGTGTACATATGTACGAAAAACGTTAAATGAAAATGGACATAAGGCATCGTTAACATCCCCTGGTGAAATAGGGAGCAAGATATATACACATATGTACAGTAAGTGTTTGCTAGGAAGTGCTGAAGGTTATATCTATATATGTATTTAGCGCTTCTCGAAGCTTAAGCTCGTTTACATGAAAATTGTCACGAAATGAGCACCTACGTATATCCCTACATTTATCAACGGTAGGAACTCTCGTTCCACGTACTATATCCGCAAACGTTCACGGGTTAATATATCATCTCGGTTCAATACTAAATAACTGATACGCGTGAAAATCCCTAGTTACTTAAAAAAATTCAAATGATTCACTAGCCAATATATAGAAGTTTATCTAATTCGTATATCGTAACTGGAGAATATATATATATATGCACGCCTATGGTGGCTTATTACAGGTCCGGCTAATCCCGTATGTGGATCTTGGCGAGTCGCCTTAAAGCACGCCGCCTACTATAAGTCACTCGGGTAAGACTAGGTCGAGCAAGAGATGGCTGAAGTGGTGAATAGAGGAGCGAAAAGGATTCGAATGTAAGGAGGAAAAGGCGTAAGAGTGAGAGAGAAGAAGAAAAAGAAGAAAAAAAAGTGTCCCCAAAATCACGAAACCCACGCGGCCCCTCTTCTTCGAGGTTCATATATTTTATCTACTGCCCCGGGAAGCCTGCGCGGGCTTTTATACACCGCGGGTATTTATGTGTCGCCGCCTTGCCTAAGCGGTTGATATATGAACTATGAAAGGGTCTACGGTCTCGATATTCTTACCCCGTGCTCGCGCGAGATGAATTTCTACGTAGAATCCAGCGTATCCACCCACTCGTTTTCAACGATACTTTTTTTGCCAACAATTCCCGGCTTGTATTTTCCGACTAGAAATTTGCTAAGCAAAGCAGCACTTAGCGATGCCGGAGAGAAAAATATCTCACGAGGGTGGATCCTTCGTCCAGGGTGGCTTAAGGGCGGCAAAGGGGGGGCTGAGGTGGTACGGAGAAGGCTATAGGAAGGTGGAGATAAAGAGGGTTGCTTGATTGGGTTAGCACTTCGCCCTGTGATTGCCGTTTGTCAGTCCTTTGCTGCTTCTAGAACCCTCGAGAATCTTCATCCCCTTTGGCTTCTTTAATTTACCAATGGCCGCCCCCTAAATTCTTGCCCCTTTGGCATTTTCGAAAAATCGCACTTTTTTCCAGCGTCATCATTTTTATAACATTTTCAAAATTTTCGTTACTCACCCCGAACCCCCAAACTCCACACACTGCCTATCGTCGTTTATGGACTTAGAAAGCATTTTTCAAACTTCAGCATGGCTCTTGCCTTCTCATAGAACGTCATACCGTAATCAACTATGCAAACGATCTTAGCGCAATAAAAGTGGCAGGATCTATAATGGCGTCCATAGTTTTTGCTCGTAAATGCCTCCCCGTGAAATACACTATACATTATGAGGACGGGCCAAGTGACTTCTGTGTGGGTTTGCGCCACATTCACCAACACCATGCGGTTACGTTATGTTAACGGTTATTAACGTGCTAATGATAATTGCAGAGTTCCTTGCGCCCAAGTCGGATCAAGAATTTTGATATAAATTATTTTCTAAGAATCAAGAAAAAAAATAATGCACAGTCATTCCGATAGTTCAAGCATACATAAATGCTCACGATAGCCAAATGGTGAAGGTATCATTGAAAAAAATAGAAAAAAAAATAAATAAATAAAGACAGGTCTTCGTGCACCCGCTAGTCATCGCCAGGATGACGTTTCCGACCTGACAAAAGTAGCCAATTAAAAAGTCACCCCCTTTCAAAGGATAAAAGTACAGACGCTCGTATCCTTTTGACGTCGCGACGGAGACGCTCTCTTCACCCCAACGTAGACGGACGACCACACCTGCTCGCGCGTTTCGTGTTCACAAAAAGTACACGGAGTCGTTAATCCCTCGGGAGCACAGAATTCGGTACAGTGCACAAACAAACCTTCCTGCCAGACAGAAACGGTGACTAATCCTTTGTCCCTGGTACCGTCCTCCATTTTGCTTTTATTTTTTTTTGTTTCGAGACTACCTTTTTTTTACTTCGTAACCATTCCGCCCCCTCCCCCTCCCGCCGACCCTTTGTGGTTTTCATACGTTCGCTCTGCCACAGGAACAAAATTCTTGAGTCACGGACCACGTGTGTCATCGAAAAATAAATAAAATTTTTGGGAAAAAAATTGCAGATTTTTGGAAATGTCGGACCATTTTTTTTTATCGACACCCGAATTTCATGGATTTTATTGATAATATATGTGTATGTTGGTGAAATTACTACGGTCATCATATGGCACAT